GTAGAGATATATACTTAAAAAAAAAAAAGAAAAGAAAGAAGAAAAGAAAAGGTCAGAAAAGGTTTTCCTTTTGTAACTTTAATTGCAGACTTGCTTGTACTTCCCCCTAGGCAATCACAGTACTACAGGCAAATTCTGTGGCTGGTTACTCACGTGAGTAATCTTACTGATATAAATGGAATTAACTCCCTAAAGTAAGGATTAATCTTGTGAGGAAAAAATTTCAAGCTTAATAATCAAACCTTTCTTTTGAGTTGAAATTGGTGAACTGAGATGGGAAATCATTATGTGCTGCTTCCTCTTTGCTGCAGGATTGGTGCAGAGAGCTCATAAAACCTCAGCACAACTTCCAAACACGAGAGCAGTGACAGCGTTCGGCACAGCTCTTTTTAACCTAGTTCCAATAACTTCATCTGTATCTATACAGACAAGAGCTGATTCCTTAAAGTGAAGTAATAAGGAAAAACCTCTAGCTCTTTCCTGATTTGGACAAATCCTTAGTGCTTTGCATGGCACCCTGCATGTTTGAAGGACAGAAAAGCAGAGCTGCAATCTCGCCACCCCTTCTCAGGGTGGCAGCCCTCCGCTGCATGAACGCCTGCACTGGAGTTAGAGCAGAGCTGCAGTTCCCTTCACAGTGATATTTGCGTTTTTGTTTAGTGATTAAGGCACACACATAATTTAAAACTTGCCTCAGCCTTAATACTCATGCAATTAAAGAAGGTCATGATATGACAGAGCCTTCCAGGTAGCTCTTGTCCTATAATTTCTGCAGAAACACCAGTTTTGACCCATGGATTTGAATTCCTGGCTCTATCAAAGACCTTTTGCTTTGCCACATCTTAATCTTTTGTGCTGTAGCACAACCACCAAGATTCCCCACTCCCTAAGAATTAGTGATTCACTAATGCCATGTCCATATTGTCGCTTTGAAAGGTAGGAAAAAAATTCCACTGGAAATACTGCTGAAATACTGAATACAGAATGGCAGAGCAAGCCAATTTGCCAGCTCAGAAATGCAGCTCTACAGCTGTTACTTTAAAAATCCATGCTTTCACTGCACAGAAAATCATTTGTACCACAACAAACAAGCTGCTACTTTAATTTGGATGTTGAGAGCTCAGAGTATGTAAATGCCAAATAACCTGTGCAGAGACACACAGTAAACAGACAACAGTTAAGTGGAACTTGGTGGCACTGGCTTATTTTCTAAGTGGCAGCTGCTATACAAAAGGTGACTTGGACAAAAAAAAAAAAGAAAAAAAATTTTTTTTTCAGGAGCTCATAATGTGAATGCTTCCCTCCTCAAGGGACTAATCTGCAATAATCTTTTTCATCATAAGAATCTGAGTTACAAACATGCAAAATGCTGTTTGAATAATACCCACTACAGCTTCCTAATTAACTGTCTAACATATAGATATATTTAAAAATATATGCATCCCTGCAAATATTGGTACAAATATTGGTAATAACCCCCCTTCATTTACAGAAGTGTCAATAGAGTGTTTAAGAAACACACATGAGTAAAACCACATTTACAATTAACTAAAGGGCCAGAATATAGTGAGAAAAATAAACATAATACATTTTTGACCTGCTCAGCAGATTAGATTTTTTGCCAAAAAAAACCCCTTGAAAACAAGAAAAACTTGTAAATTTATTCCAAGCAGTAAAAATTCAACTAACTGCATCATGGACTTCGATGACTGACATCTAAATACTTATTCCCTGAGGTGCACTGCATGCATAGTTACAATAAAAATACACTCAAGTGGGTGCTGAGTGAATACAGGCTTTGAAAAATGCCCAGGCTTTACAAAGGGAAAAAGCATTACTGCTGCAGCCAGAGATGGTGATGGCTGTAACATTTCCTCTGCCAGTGACCGCTGCTGAAGTTGACTGAGAAGGGTGAGCCCGAGCTGCCTGGGGATGGGCAGCCCTGCCAGCCCTCCCAGCTGAGCATGTCCCACAGAACCCAGCAAAGCAGGAACTGTGCTGAGGATGCCAAGGGCTGCTTTTACAGCAGGGAGGTGCAGAGACATCTCTGGGCTGCTGCCCACGGAGCTGTGAAAGGGGGGGCAAAGTCTGATCCCTCCCCGGCACGGCTGGCACAGCTTCCAGCAGGGACGCGATCCTATCAGCAGCATTTCCCTTCAGCTGGCTGGGCCTGATTTACTCAGATCAGAGTATAACCAGTGCCAGGAAAAAGGTACTTCGTCAGTACTCTGGGCACGCCTTGCTGCTGCGGGGTCACTGCAGCACCCTCCTGGGCAGCTCTTCTGCTGTAGATGCTCCTTTGCAGGCAAGGAGGCAGCAGGGAGAGAATCAGCTCTGTTCAAGCTCTGGTGGCTGGAGGAAATTGAGTCTAAGCAGGAATATTGTCCTGGGGTCTTCACCACTGGGAGTCTTCCTTTTGGCAGGGCTGGAAGAAGGTAGCAATTCCAGAAGTGGAGAAAAGAGAAGGAAAACCAGTGAGGCTTCCATATAAAGGTGGCATTAAAAATTCTGCAAATAAACTGGAGGCTGCTGCTGCTGGAGAAAGTTTAATGATCATTATTTCCAAATGCATTGGGTCAGTAAGGTCAGACTAGGCAGGATGCATTATATATTTATCATGTCTTTTTACTGCAGTCCAGTACTGCACAGCCCTGAGTGCATGTCTCTACCAGCTGGGAGCCTGGGCAGCCACAGATTGTTGTCAAACCAAAGACTGTTGACAACTCTTGCATTACACAAATATTTGCTCCTCTCAGTTTCTTGAGTGAAGCTCCAAAATCTGCAGGGTTGAGGCTGAGCCCTGGCAGAACCATTGTTTTCCACAGGTTTTTTAGGTCAGCTCCCATGTACCACTCCACTCCAGCCAGCAGTAATATTTCTTCACACTGACTACCCTTCTGTAAAAGACCACTTATACCCCACAGTAACCTGCACATCCAGTGTTTCTGAAATGCAGTGACTCGGGAGAGGTGTGCATACACCAGCACATGGTTCATACAAACCATTCCTGTGGTCACAAAGAAGAGGGAAAAATTGTTTTTAAAATAAAGGGGTCTACATGTAAGTCAATATGCCAAGTGACACCTCTTGTTTCAAACAATTCACACTCTGAATTGAGAAACAGGTCAGTATCCATCAATAAGACATTTTCACACAGTGAAAGATTCTCTATGTTCTCAGTTGTCCAGTAGATAACTTTTAGAAGTCTTCGTGTCTTATTCCACTAATCATCTGCCCAGCATATCCACAAAATAAACCACACCATGAGAAAGAACAGGCTGTAGCAGGCAAAGCAATGTCATCTCAAGGACACTACAAAAGCATAAGAAATGTAAAATACAGCACTGCAAAACAAGGGAACTGAGCTTTATTTCTAGAAAGGCAGGTTGAACATTAAATTAATGGAAAAGGCAATATCATTTGGGTCTGTGCCATAAGTGCTGAAATGCTAGAATGCCCTTAGACTTTCCAAGCCATCCAGAACAAAATCACTGTGGATTTTTGAAGCAACTTTATAACTGGGGTTTTAGAAGGCAGTGAAACCTTGTAAGGGCTCGTAGCTGCTCTCTGACCATGAGAATGGTGATAATAAAAGTACTTATAACTCCTACCTCCAAAAAGGCCTTCTACCATCTCCTCACATAAAATAAATATGGTAGAGGGGATTAGGTGTCCTCTGACTCGTGTATCAGTGGTGACAGGCCACAGGCAGGCAAGGAATCCATAGCTTCCCCTTGGCTGCTGGGGGATCTGCTGTGCTGAGGGACACAGATGTGGTCACATCTGTCCCAGAGGGGCAGAATCAGTCTGTGACAAATCCTCCTCGTGCCAGAATCCGAGGGGTCTCTCCCAGTTACAGGAAATTAATACAGATACAGACTCTTCAATCAGTCATACTTTGACAGCCTCACTGCTTCTGCAGCTCCCTCTTTCAGGTCATCTGCTTGTTCCACTCTCACCACTAAACACGTGCTTACATGAGAAATCAATGGTGCTGAAATTAAATGAGGTCTTGTATGAACATCAACACAGTTACCAAAGAAATTCATCTGTACACACTTCCAAAACCCTTCAAAGTTTAAATTCTTGTGCATTTCAATGAAATGTATTTATTCATTTCAGTGCATTTCAATGATTTATACAAAGAAAAAGTAGCAAAACACTACTTCTTTTTTTTCAGTCACATTTCAATATCAAGGTATTTGCTGGTGTGGATAAATCAGCCCCTCCCTCTCCTATTCAAATGGAGATTTCATTGAAAAGACATTTTAGAACCACAGAATTTTTTGGGAAACATAACGTCCTTTTTTAAGGAAAAAAAAGGATTTTTTCAGTGTTCCACACCCTTTAGTTCTTACACGACAGAAACACTTGGGAAAAATTAGAAAATTAGAAGCTGAGGCTGGAAAGCGAATCGGTGCAAGCACAGGGAACTTCTGAGTGGTCACACCCAGCCACAGATAAACTTCAGGCTGGTTTATTGCAGCCAGGGTTTGAGTTCAGAGCTAACCTAACCTGC